TCATTCTATTCATTTCCCAATGTCCATCTCACAGATGAGCCAACGAAACAGATCCCCTCACCAGCTCCTCCTCCACTCCATTCATGTCAACAAGAAACCCCATTTCAGGATAGCTAAAGGAGTGGCTTTTATTGTACTGTCCCCTCCAATAGGAGAGGGCTGACAGGTAGTCTTTGAGGCCCACCTCCAAAGACTCTGAGTTCACAAAGTAGGATGATGCAGAGACACCAGGCCATAGGAGCTTTCTGGCACAAGATCTCACCCAAGGGCTTTGCTAGGCAAGAGTGACTTTGGGTCAACATTTCTCAAACCACAGAAGACCTTTGCCTTAGTCTCGAACTACAGATTCTGCAGCTCACATAATGTATATACAGATGTGCCTTCCTTAATGACAGGGACAGGTTATCTGAAATGTGTTGTCACAACAACTTTGCCATTGTGAGAACATTCTAGAGTGCATTTACCCATAGCCTGCTGGCCTAGGTCAGTCACCTGATGTGGTCTCTCCATGCAATCAGGAGATGTATGAGGCTGCTGCCAACATAACATGGAGGATTTTTAGAGCAAACTTTTTGGATATAGTAGAAGCCCACTCTAAAATAATGATAGAAAGTGTAGGATAGGAAATACCTAAGCCAGTAACATAGTCATTCATCACTTACCATCATCAATTATTATGTACTATTCAAAACTGCACGTGCTACACAACTGGCAATGCAGGTTTGTTAATTTATCTTTGCAGTGTCGGGATTTGAACTCAGGGCCTACACCTTGAACCACTCCCCTATCCCTTTTTTGTGTGATGGGTTTTTTTTTTAAGATAGGGTCTTGAGAACTATTTGCCTGGGCTGGCTTTGAACCATGATACTACTGATCTCTGCCTCCTGAGTAGCTAGCATTGCAGGCATGAGCCACCGGTGTCTGACTTGCAGGTGTATTTTATTTTATTAAGACAGAGTCACTGTGTCTTTATTTATAAACAAGAGTAACGTGTCGTGCGTGCTATAACATCATCATAGTCACGACATTGCTAGGCGACAGGAATGCTTCAGCTCCACTACGATCTTACGGGATCACCATGGAGTGTGAGGCACATCATTGACTGAAACAGCAGTATGAGGGGTGTGACTATCTTTAGAATAATTCATATTTTAATTTTCAACTTCAGGAAAGTAATGTGTTAAGGAAACTGCTTGTTTCCACCATGAATAAACTAGCCCACTGGCTCCAACCACAAAAGCACACTCAGTGAGAACAAAGCCCAAAGGAGATTCGAGCTGCCCTATGAGTGAAGAAGCTGAGGCTGTAGCCCGCTCCTCAGTTCCAGGGGATGCTTGTCCGAGAAGGGTTAGCCATTGTCCAACATCGAACTGAGACAGAGCCAGAGGCTTGGAGAAGAACAGAAACTGGACCAACACTGCCTACTGTCTGAGGCAGAAGTATTGCCTGCGGCCTCCCTGCACCACCAAGATCATCACAGGGACCATGGTGTGGGGCAGGTGACTGTTTCAGGAAAGACACATCACACCAGAATGACACCTGCTTATTCAAAATGGCACTGAAGAAGGAGGCACTGGAGAGATGTTAATATTAACTTTCATGGCTTATTAGAATTTTGGGGAGAAAAAAAAGGAAAGAATGGGAAGTGCCCAGCAACGTTTGTACTTGTGGTCTGGGGAAGAAGCTTGGGGAACAGCTTGTAGTTGTTACTAGTCTTTCTTTTTAATGGAGATTAAACCTCTCACATGGAGGCAAGCACCCCACTGCCGAGTTACATCAACCCAGCCTGACTGGTCACTTGAAAATATGAAGGATTATTCTTATTCGTTGAACAAGTTCTTTCCCATGCTTAAGAAGGATACATGGATAAGTTTGCATATGTCCTCCTTTTTTTCTCTTTGCTAAAAATGGAAGCTTCCTGGCCCCAGAACTGAGTTGGCTTCAACCAAAAGCTGTAGCCTGACAACCCCCACCTCCCTCCCAGCTGAGTTCAGCCCATCTTCAATTGGACAAAAATAAAACGGGGGCAATTGCAACTTAAAGACACAAAACAAACCTACTCCACAATTTGTTGAGGGCATTCCTCCCTCCAAACCCTCCTTATTTAATTTCTGGGGAATTTTAAATAGAGGGCTTGCAAAAACTCTGCACCGCCTGACGTCAACAGCTCTCTGACAACGTGGATTCTTCTACATGGTATGGGAAGCAGCCACCAACGAGTGCAGATGCTTTTCCAGGCTACTTTCCCAGCTGGAGTTTGGGAGTCACTGGTGTCACCCTTGAAGACTGTGGGACATGGAGGGTGCCCAGGAGACAGTGTTCCACTTCACTGAAGTTCCCCCAACCCTCAGCTATTTGACTAGCACCTGTGCTGGGGATTTCTTAGTGTATTCATTGAAACTGTCTTGACTAAAAAAAATATATATATATATATAAACAGGCTTTTCAGAAAGGCATTTTCCTGTGCTGAACCGAATAGGAAACCAATATCCCAAACAGAAGATAACTGGAGAAATACAATGTCTAGAAGTCCACCAGGATGCTAACGCAAGTTTTAGCAAGATACTAAGCCTGGGCTGATTTTCTCTTAAACAAAGGACTAATAGTGTTAGACAGCTATTGACAACACAGAAGCCCAGTGGAGACTTTCCTCCTGACCCAGGGAAAGAAAACAAAGGAAACCTTCTGACAATGTCACTCAACACTTCTCCACCCAGCACAAACCCTCACTGGGAAACACTTACATGGCCTTTGGTTCACACACAGCTTGGCTACTAGCAAGCTTTGAGGTCTTGTACCTTCTCTCTTCTGAAAAATGGAAACAAAACCACCTGCTCTACTTACTCCCCAGCTACTCTGAGATAATAGACAGGAAAAATGCTTTGAAATCTCTAGGTTGTTGGCAGATGGGGGCAATTTCAGGAATCCAATGGATTCCTCTATCCCTAGATATGACTGGATGGTAGCCCACCCCTGCTTCTCAGAGAAATGGAAAGGAAAATGGATATACCACTTGGTAATTTCCTTTCAGTTAACCTTCCTGATGTCCAAGTGTGTTTCAACTATTATCCCCATTTTACAGGCAGGGAAAGTGTGGAGCAGAAAGGCTGTGTACTACTCTGTAACAGTGGGAATCTGAGCCCTTTTCATGGGGCTTGGGTGAAATGACCTCTACCTTGTCCTTTGTGACTCAAAGACCCCAAATATGTTGGTCTCGCTGTATTCAGCCCTGTCTCTCTGTGACCTTCCCATGACTTCCCACCAGTTGGCAGTCTGTTTTCCTACCCTCAGCTTCCCAGCTCCCTGACCTGAGGTTCAAGTTGACCATGTCCCCAGCCAGACCAAGAGGTCTCTGAGGACAAAGGCCAGGTCTGCTCCTCATGGCATCCTGTGGAGCCCCTGCCAGGCTCAATGTTTTGGACAAGAAGGGGGCAGGTAAGTAATTGTTAAGAATGAAAGACAATGACAGACTGACACAAACTTCCTTCCTCCCTGGCCTCTACAGCCATTCCAGGTCTTTCTGTGTCTTTCTCCTTGCACCCGTTCAAGTCCAGCTCCTGGGGTCAGTGTGGGGCTGGTGCCTGGGCCTTTCTGTCCTGCTAGAATGCAGTGCAGCCACTCAGCCCTTGGGCACTGTACCTTCCCCACATTCATCAATGTTGGGCACTATCTCTGACTCACAGCAACCCAGCTCATCCCCGGGGATCTGCCACTAGATGGGAGGCACAGAGATTATTGTCGCTTGTTGCTAACTGGCCTCAGGCCACCCAAGAGCTGGATACTCCCATCCCAGAGAGCTTGAGCTCCTGCAGCTTGCTGGTGGACTTGACTGGGCCATTTCGCACTTGGGCCTCTCACATAGGAATGGAAAAGCCAATCTCAGGAAGGCCTGCAGGCAAGTCACCAGGGACAAGCCCACTCCTGGGGTGTGGCTTCAGGAGGGATGCAAACGGGTGCCATTAGCTGCCTTGCCCATTTGAGGTAGCTGCACAGCCTGGTCACAGCACACAAATAAGCCTCCTCCTTGCAGGCTGCAA